CCCGAAGAGGTAGCCGTAAGAACCAAGGAGGTCCGCACGGAATCGAGGCACCAAGGCACAGGAAAAACTCCCAGCACAGCCAACCGTGGGAACCAAGGAGCCAAGGCACGGGAACCCATGAGACAACTCAGAATTTTAAGAAGAAAAGGGGAGAAGAAGAGACATGATTAATGAGCTACCAATAAATTAATGAATTAACTAAAAACATAGCTCATAATAAGCTAACTCTTAGTTCAATAAGTGAACTAAAAACCAGCTCATAATGAGCTAAATTTCAGCTCAAAAATTAATAAGCTAGCAAGCTCAAGGGAAGTCAAAAATCCAAATTTTTGAATTCGGATTGACCCCCCTTGCCTACATCAGACTCCCCTACTTGGAAAACTCATCTCCCGATGAGTTGCTTTTTGTTTTCTTCCGAGGAGGCGAAGACGGAGCATCCAGTTCTTGAATTTTTTCTTCGTATTTTTTCAGAATTTCTTCTCGTTCTTGCAAAAACTGATCTTGTAAATGTTGTTTCTTTTTCATGTATCTCTATGTACACAAATGCATCCATGATTAAAGTTTGTACAGCTCATATTGCAGGGGATTTGTTGACTTTGATGGAATCCATTTGTCCATCGAAAGAGGGACATCAAGATTTTCTGGATTGCTTTCTTCCTTGACCGAATCCATCTTTTTGTCTTTATCCATTTTTTTATTAAAAAAATACTCAACAAAACAAGACTCACAAGACTCACACGGCAAGACTCGCACAATAACTACTATGACCTACCAAGATTCACTAGAACTCACAAACAAAACAACTTATGACATCAAGACACACACGACAAACTGTCTCATAAACTTAGGACTTCCTAACTTGCTTTGATACCAAATTGATGGAATCAAAAATTTGGAAGAGGGCCCCAAATTTTTTATCACAAAAGAAGACACTTTCTAGGATTTAGAAAATTACAAGAACTCACAAAATTTAGACAAATTAGACAAAAACAAACTTTTTATAATATAAAAGACTATTACAACTTGGACACTTACAAATGACTCAAACAAGACACTTTACAAACAACACTTACAATCTTCAAGACCAAACTTATATAATAAAAACCCTAAACTTACTTTCATCCATTAGAAGAAGGATACAGGTGAGGTGGCACTTGTGGCGAGAAGAAAGTGGTTAGAAGCCAAGACGAAGGGTGGTGAAGCTTGCAAGCCTTCCTAGAAGAAGAGAAGAAGTAGACAAAGCTCTCAAGCTTTTCCGAAAACCCTCAAGTTTTCTTACTCCAAAAATCACATTTTCAACTCTCATTCCCTCTCAAAACATCTCATATTTATAGGCAAGAGAGGAGAAACCAAACAGCCTCAAAAAACCCTTCATATTCTTAATTTAATGAGGGAAATGAAAAGCCAACAGCTACCTCATAATATTCCCCAATTCTACACAGGAAACAAAACAACAAAGCCACGGAAAAATCCTCATCAACCATGGGAAAACAGCCCAGCCTAGGACCCGAAGAGGCAACCGCAGGAACCAAGGAGGTCCGCACGAAACCGAGGCACCAAGGCACAGGATAACCACCCAGCACAGCCAACCGTGGGAACCAAGGAGCTAAGGCATGGGAACCCATGGGACAACTCAGAATTTTAAGAAGCAAATGGGAGGAGAAGAGACAAGATTAATGGGCTACCAATAAATTAATAAATGAACTAAAGACAGCTCATAATGAGCTAACTCTTAGTTCAATAAATAAACTAAAAACAAGCTCATTATGAGCTAAATTTCAGCTCAAAATTTAATGAGCTAGCAAGCTCAAGGGAAGTCAAAAATTCAAATTTTTTTATTCGGATTGACCCCCCCTGCCTTCATCAGACTCCCCTACTTGGAAAACTCATCTTCCGATGAGTTGCTTTTTATTTTCTTCCGAGGAGACAAAGACGGATCATCCAGTTCTTGAATTTTTTCGTCATATTTTTTCTGAATTTCTTCTCGTTCTTTCAAAAACTGATCTTGTAAACGTTGTTTCTTCTTCATGTATCTCTCTGTACATATATGCATCCATGATTGAAGTTTGTACAGCTCATATTGCAGGGGATTTGTTGACTTTGATGGAATCCATCTATCCATCGAAAGAGGGACATCAAGATTTTCTGGATTGCTTTCTTCCTTGACTGAGTCTATCTTTTTGTCTTTATCCATTTTTTTTAAGACTCAACAAAACAAGACTCACAAGACTCACATGACAAGACTCACACAATAACTACTATGACCTTGCAAGACTCACTAGAACTCACAAACAAAACAACTTATGACATCAAGACACACGACAAACTGACTCATAAACCTAGGACTTCCTAACTTGCTTTGATATCAAATTGATGCAATAAAAAATTTGGGAGAGGGCCCCAAATTTTTTATCACAAAAGAAGACACTTTCTAGGATTTAGAAAATTACAAGAACTCACAAAATTTAGACAAATTAGACAAAAACGAACTTTTTATAAGATAAAAGACTATTACAACTTGGACACTTACAAATGACTCAAACAAGACACTTTACAAACAACACTTACAATCTTCAAGACCAAACTTATATAATAAAAACCCTAAACTTGCTTTCATCAATTAGAAGAAGGATACAAGTGAGGTGGCACTTGTGGCGAGAAGAAAGAGGTTAGAAGCCAAGACGAAGGGTGGAGAAGCTTGCAAGCCTTCCTAGAAGAAGAGAAGAAGTGGACAAAGCTCTCAAGCTTTTCCAAAAACCCTCAAGTTTTCTTACTCCAAAAATCACATTTTCAACTTTCATTCCCTCTCAAAACATCTCATATTTATAGGCAAGAGAGGAGAAACAAAATAGCCCCAAAAAATCCTTCATATTTTTAATTTAATGAGGGAAATGAAAAGCCAACAGCTACCTCATAATATTCCCTAATTCTACACAGGAAACAAAGCACCAAAACCACGGAAAAACCCCAGCAACCACGGGATAACAGCCTAGCCTAGGACCCGAAGAGGCAAGCATAAGAACCAAGGAGGTCTGCACGGAACCGAGGCACCAAGGCACAAGAAAACCACCCAGCACAGCCAACCGTGGGAACCAAGGAGCTAAGGCACAGGAACCCATGAGACAACTCTGAATTTTAAAAAGAAAAGGGGAGGAGAAGAGACAAGATTAATTAGCTACCAATAAATTAATAAATGAACTAAAGACATAGCTCATAATGAGCTAACTCTTAGTTCAATAAATGAACTAAAAACCAACTCATAATGAGTTAAATTTCAGCTCAAAAATTAATGAGCTAGCAAGCTCAAGGGAAGTCAAAAATCCAAATTTTTGGATTCGGATTGACCCCCCCTTGCCTACTTCATAGATGCTTTGTCAGAGCTTAATAATAGAGAAAAAAAGCAACAAATATCAGCAACGACAAGACACAACAAAGTTGTGTTTAAAATCATAGGAGTAGGTTAAGTTGTAAATTCTAATTTCTACAATACTAGAAATTCGTTGTAGGAAATAGCCACAGGAATATATAGTTATGTATATGGAAGAGGCTCCTATAAATACTTCAACCAACTTATATCAATTCTTCCTTATATAAAAAAAAAAAGAAGATTGTTTTCTCAACATTGTTCCAATAAATATATAGTAGCTTTTGGATTTCTTGTAAAAATATCCATGAGTTATCATATATAAGTCGGTCTATCTATCGCAAAACTACCTTTGATACTCGTCATCAAGAGTGGCCATAATATCGCCATTTATTATTACTTTTTGTACAAAATTTGTATTATGGAAATTACACATGTGATGTGTTGGATGTAAATTCAAGAGGAGGCATATAAGGCATTAGTTTGTTGTTTATATAGAAAGTTAAGTTAGGTGCATTAAAATTTAGACTAATGACATATTTTTCTGAGATATTTAATTCCTATGCATTCATAAATTTGTTGAATAACTGTATATGGCTCCATTATTTTAGCATTTTTTTTTGTTCCTATAGGAAACTATTTAGTGTTTAAACGAATTATTATTTTATTACCTAATTTAAATTTCACATATCTCGAATTCGCATATTTAATAGTTATAATTAACCTAGTTAGCAGTGCGTTCTTCAAAATTTTCTCATACAAATCATGCATATAACTATGATTTTGCAAGAGGATATGATGATTAATTATTTATATGTTTCTTAACGGATATTGCATTGCTATTTCCTAAAGGAGGAGAAGTTGCAGTATTTAAATTTATACTTATTAGATTCCGTAAAAACATTGTCATTGCCAGGTCCCAAGTCCTGAATAAGAAAAGTGGAGGGTTGTGTTAGGTAGTTGACAACCAATGTAAAATTTCTCAAATAATCATGTCATGAATTATTTAATGCGTTGTATTAATGCTAGGGCATTCTCTGGAAGCGACTCGCTGTATGACCTGAATATAACGAAAAGTGTGCAAGGGCCGCTACACCGACGCTCAGGTGTAGTGTTAAATAGGCAAGGGTTCCTACATCATGGATAAATGTGGGCAAAAGATGCTAGTCCATGAAACTAGAATTAGGATAGGATCTTGGAATGTTGGTCCCCTGACATGTAAATTAATGAAATTAAATAATATTATAATTCATAGAAGATAAATAGTCTATGCATTCAGAAAACTAAATGGGTAAGGAAGGCTAAGGAGATTGATAGTTTAGGATTTAAAGTTTGGTATTTTGGTAAGTGTCATACTAGGATGAGTATTTTCTTAATCTTAGATTCAAGCATCATGTGTGGATCCATTGCTTTTGTAGTAATTTTATCGGAACGGAGTACCATACGTGTTTAAACTATTATAGGCTACAGATTTTGTTCCATTCTTCCATAAAAAAAATCTAAATGTGGGTTAAGACTTTTCATCTTGGAATTATTAATTTTGTTGATGATACCGACCACACTTTATAATTTCTTGGATGAACTTTATTATTTTTATTTGATTGTTTTTTGTTTATTATGAACTTTTTGTTTATAGCACACCTAAGGACTCCTAGCCCTTATGTTGGAGGTTTACCCATTCCACGAGGAGCTTACATTGGAGGCTCTACATATCATCATCAAGTGCTTCCCTACAACTATCAGCATCCGATTTCTTATCCTTCTGTTGGGTAAGTTAATTATCAGTTATTCCATCCTCATTTTAATTCTAATATAATAATTTGAAATTTTATGGAGAGCATTGCATCTCAAAGCTTTGTTGCTCAATTTTGTGAAAAGTTTCGCATATTTTTTAAATGTATTTGAAACTCAAATTATCATCATTAGTCTTTTCCTAATTATTCATAGTTTGTTATGTGTTCCCTATCATTCATTTTTTTTTGGGTTCTATATTATGTGTTAATAATTATTCATGGAGGTTTTTCTTACAAAACCAACAATCTTATAAAACTTCAGAATAATGTTGAAAGCTGGATTTGTTGGTATATATATATGACTAAGGAATAGAACATAAGAATGGAAGGATGGCATGCTATCTGCTCTAAATTTATCTTGTTCCTGTCTGCCAAGTAAAAACATACAATAAGACCACCAAAGCAAAGAACCCACTAATAAAACTAAAAAAAAAAAAAAAACTAGATTGTATTACGGATAGTAGGCTTATGACATTTTGCATATCTGAAATATGGATTAGTGATAGGAAATACTTGAAGATCTCGAGTAAAACCTAACAATTTTGGCAAAAACAGCGAGCAATATCCACTAAACTCTAATAGAAAACCAGAAAGCAGTAATTTTATTGCAAACATCTAATATTATGGAAGTAAAATTTCAAGATACAGTCGTTCCTCAATTCAAGAGGAGGATTTATCTCTCCCAATCTCTAGACGTCGCTAGAGCCGAAGACGCCAAACTCCAATAACACTAAAACAGCCACCAATTATCCGATCATCCTAACCTTGGGAAAATCATCTATTTGAGGAAAACAATAAACATAAAAAACCCAAACAGCCCTCCCCCAATTCCCCCCTATTTCCTTAATTATCTCCCTCCCAAATCAGCCCTCGAATTTGCCCTCTTCAATTAGGAAACATTTCCTAATTAACCCCCCTTCAAATCAGCTCCGAAATCTGCCCCTAAATATGTCCTCTTCAATTTGGAAACATTTCCTAATTAATCCCCTCAAAATCATTCCCCAAATCAGCCATCAAATTTGCCCTCTTCAATCAAGAAATATTTCCTAATTAATCCCCTCTAAATCAGCCCCCAAATATACTCTTTTTTACACATTCCGTTGATTAAGAAAATTTTTAATTCCTTTACAATCAAATCGGCCGGTCCATCAATTAGCTAGTAGTGTGTTTTCAACGGAATGTGCAAAAAAGGAAATTTTGTTTACTGGTAGTACTAAATCTACCGAGTTTAACTGTTTGCCACTTTAATGTTTCATCATAAGGATTTTAATTTTCCTTATGCAGGTACACAGCATATGGCCCAGAGTATGCCTATCCTCAGGTTGGGTAGTACAAAAAAAAAAAAAAAAAATCTTTGTATCCTTTTTCCAATTAACTTGGGATGCTTTGTTTATACTTCCTCGTGATAGTTTATCTTGCTACTGTCATACAGAGCATCCATAACCCATTGATGTCGCAGCAGTATGTTCAAATTTATGGTGTTCCTGGGGCAGTAAATACAGCTATCTACCCTTATGGTCAGTTGAGCCAACCGATATCCATTGCCCAAGGTTTTGCAACGATGCAGGGCTACACAGTGCCTGGGCATCCTTTTATGCAACCGGGGGGACACAGTATCAATGGCTTAACAGCTTCACCACGCCCTGCAAATCAAGCACCATACCCAAGTATGTGTTCTGATCGATAATTCTTGTCAAAGTTCTTTTATCCGCTTTCTTCCCACATGTTATTTTATGTGATGTTCTTGTGACTTGGGAAACGTTTCTAATGTATCCTTTTTTATTTATAGACATCAAGTTTTAATTTGCCAAAATCATGTCTGCATCTATATGCTTGTTGTTCATTAAATAGTTGTGTATCCTAACCAACAGTTTTGGAAAAACAATAAAGGTTTTTGTAATCCTGTAAATAATGTTCCTTATCAAGTATTATTCCTTTTTTTTACATTGAGACTTTGAAACTAAAAAAAAAGTTAATTTTATGTTCTATTATACAGGGATTATTCTTATCCCCTGCAATAAACTGCGAGTGTCCTAGACTTTTTTTTGGTTATTTGTTTTTGAAAAAGGAAGCTTATTAGTTTGAAGTTCCTTGTCCTGGGTTAAAGGGGTTGTGATACCTGCACCAGCTCAGCCTCAGTTCATTATTCCTGCAAATTCATCTCAATATATTTACGGCAGCGGATCAGATCATGCAGCAAGCTGAGAGCATCAGGGAAAAAATCTTCAGGTTGTAAAGTGCAAATGTTCATAGCCACGCTTTGATGATTTCTATCTATGCTAATGCACTTTCCATTTTCCTATGAATATCAGGTATCCTTAGATTGCAACAGGACTAAGAACAGCAGTGCCACTATTAGAGTGGCATGCCTGTCTTGCCTTGGAACCTTTCATCTTTGCATCTAGAGGTAGGTTTGAGTCCAAATTTTTGTTGGTTTGAAATTAGCCTTTTTAGTTACCGCTCTATTTCTTTTGCTTGATGATTCTGTTTGATTTTAATACTCTTTCTAAACTATGGAAACTTTATTTTTTGCTTTCTTACTGATACACTATCCTAATATTTGATAATGCCAAACGAATTGGTTGTTTCAGAATTTCTTTTTAAGCAAGTGTAGTATTTTAGGCCTTTCTATTTTTTCCCATAATATGGATCCCACCAATATTTTCTAGGATCCATTAAAGTGATCATGAATATATTAAGCTGTGAATCTAATCCAGACAAATCAAATGTTTCTGGGAGAGTTTTTTTCCATGACTCTTACTAAGTACTCTCCGTTTTCACAACAGAGCTTTTATTTCACCCAGCATTACTCTGTTACTAGGAATTTCATACTATCTCCAACTTTGCATGATTTATTTTCATCCCACAACCTAATTTTCAATTTTCACCTACATGAAAGCTCAATTTTTTGCTCCATCTTCATTGTGTGCAGAGTGCTACAATTTTATGTTTTTTTTTTTTTTTTTTAGGGTTTATTTCACCAAATTTAACATTATGTTAACTAGGTTTAAATTTTATGCTTTAATTTTCTTTCCCTTCATCTATTAGACTGTCAAGATTAACAAAACTGTTTGGCAATCCAATGCAGATTTTTCTGGTCTAGGTCACCAGAGAGCATTATAGCATTCACAGCTACTCCGACGAATGGAGCTGAAGACACATGGGAGCAAGGTGCTCTCCTTGGATACCTGTTAAAGTATCTGTAAAATCCCTCATGCGCTACTGGGAGCTCATTAGTACTTATGGTGCATTAACTGATGGATGCCGGAATTGGAGTCCGACAAACATCATATTATTGAAAACATTATATGATTCTTTCCACATCCAGATTTGGTCATTGTGGCGTAAGTCTCATGTCATTGGCTTTCCATCCCCCACACCCACCCTTCCATTATTGGTGTCTCATATCCTCTCAAGTGAATATAGTGTTTATAACTGCCTATTTAGTAACCAACCTCTAAACCCTATTGTCATCAGTTTTTAGATAGCCTAAGCAGAGGCTAGAGAGCGTCTTTCAAGTGATGACCTCCTCCATTTCTTCTACCAACAACTGGCATCAACATACTATAGTACTCTGCTGCAATCTGATATAGGCTTCGTTTGGGGCGGCTTTCTTGCTGCTTCTTAAAGTAGCTCTTTAATTTAATAATTAAAAGTTTTGTATTGAAAAACTGCTTCAAGAAGCAACAAGAAAGTCATCCCAAATGAAGTCATAATGTCCATATATTACAGGAGCTATTGATGGTGTATTACGTTATTTTTAATTGAAACGTAAGCTAAGCTGAAAGTTTTTAATATGACAGGTATTTAATGCTGTAAATTCTCCTTTGTTCCCACTTGGTTTCAGGAGTAGTGTGAATGTATGTATGGTCACCATTTTTGCTTTGATTGATGGTATTTACATTTAGTTGTGCTTTACACTCTTCCGATTCTGAAATGGATTGAATTATGTTACTTTTATGTCTTTGGTAGAGTTGTTGGGTTTGGTATTTCAGTTCTTTTATCTTTGGTAGATTTATTTCTGCTTGAATTGTTTACTGTATCCCTCCTATATTTCTTGTTCACCCAAGTCTTCCTACGTCTTTCACGTTAGTTAATCTGTCAACATAAACCATTTGCCACCAATTCAACGGGCTAAAAAGTCCTTCGAGAAATGTTCGAAGATGCAGGTCATTTTGGTCTATTGGTTGGAGGTTTTGGCTATCAAATAAGTAGTTTTGGGTTTGAAGTCGTGTATGTGATGGATGTGTGAATTTGCCTTAGTTTCTCCAAAAAAAAGTTTGATGGAATCAAAGGAGTTAACAAATAATCATGGTTCTAATTAAGCTTGAACTTAGCTGGATCAGAGTTGAATCATGTGAGCTCGAGATTAAGTTGAAATATAACTCTCTACGTTTGAAATGAATAAATTTGAATTAATTGTGTCGCTTGAGATCGAATTAAATTAGATCAAACATTGCTTATCAATTTCATTGTATTTCAGCTTGGATCAAAGCCATTTAGTTGGCTAATGTGCTAATTGTGATTCTGAAAGAACTCCATTTCAGTTGAGTTTAGATTGTACTGTGTCAGGTCAAGTTTAAATAGAAATATGAATGTCTTTATATTCCAATTGAATGAACTTGAATTAAGCTTAGATCGCCACATGTTAGTTTGAGATTAGATTAAAATACGGATATTCTCTTTTCTATCTCTCTCTCTCTAAATATATTTTATCATATATTATGTCGCCTTCTTCAACCTTCCATCCTCCTCTTCTTGATCTATTGTGATCATCAATGAATTTTGACAAGTGTTTATTTTGATCAATGGATAAGAATGAAATCACTGGTGTTAAGTAGATCAGAGAGCTATGGCATATGTACTAAAGAGCTAAACACAAACGCAGGTGTACCTTTGAGAGTAGAACAAGCATTTAGAAGTTTGAATGAGATAATGGGAGTGTTGCATTATAGTTATTTTATGAGGAATTGGAGAGATGAAATAACATAGAGACATGAGACATTTATGATGGGTTGGTATGCAGATCTTCACCGCTACATCCATACTTATATATTATGCTAACTTCTAGTATAATAAATGTGTTGGGGAGCATTCATAAAGCTTTCAAGAGCACTAAGATTTTGTTTGGGATAGTTTTAAAAACGGTTTTCTATTATGAAAATTTTAAATTTATGAAAGTTTTATACTAAAAAGTTGTTTTAGAAAGCAATAAAAAAATTGTTCCAAATAAAATCTAGAAAGCGAAAGAAATTATGCTTGGGATGGGAGGTCTTACATCTGACTAGAAAGTTTATGTTTATGGGTAGGTGTATGTGTGCGGTTATAATAGATGGGAACAAAAGGGAAATAATTGTGGCACTTGGGTTTTCTATAGCAGATTTTTTGAAGAATCTTTAACAGTCATTGAAGGAAAAATAAATGAGACCACCAATGTTAGACATCGCCTTGAATGCCCTAGGCAAAGTGAAAGGGAAAGCTTGGCAGGTACAACATAAGTAGCTTAGTTTGAGTATTATGATTCGTAGGCTTGTAATGATGATAACTAGAGCCACTAGCGATGTAGTAGCAAACATTTCATTCAACATTTTAGTAAGGGAATAATGGGCATTTTGTGTGCTAGTATCTGAAGGAGTACAAAGTTCATAGATTTGGATAGGTGTGGGTGATAATATTGTTGACCTTGCACATCAAATCATGCACAAAAAAGGCAAAACCGGCAAATTAAAAAAACGTGTGCATCGACGCAAAGCATCACTTGAAAGGTAAAATGACATCTGATTGTCAAACTGACTGTGCCGTTGCAATCAGGACGTCAAATTCGCCTTGGTGGGGACCATTCTCTCTATCAAATCGAATGAGATCGGTCCAAATGGACAACGATGCGCAAACTGAGAAAATTGAAGGGATCGGTCGCCTAAATGACTGCTGACCACAAAACAGTTTTCGTTGTTGAGTTCGAAACATCGTAAATGCCCAAAGATCTTAGTCAACTTATTTAATTCGGATCGTCCTATCCGTTGGCATGAATCCCAAGGTGGCAATGCGCAACTGAGAAAATCGACATGTGATGTGGAAAAATGATGCCCAATTGCAAAACGAATTTCATCGTTGCATTCGGAACATTGTCAACTCCCAAAAGTGATAGTAAATTTTTTAAAGCAATTTCTTAGATTTGGACCTCTAATTAAACTGACTCAAAAGTCAGTGGCTTTTATTTTGAAATTTTATTTAAAAAAAAGTTAAAGATTGAATAATTATTTAACATCTGCTTCACTTATGACTATTTCAGCAGGTACAGAGGGATTTTAAGTATTCAGGATGCTTCATTGAAGGGATTAGGATGTGTTATGATGCAACATGTGTGGGTTATAACATATATTTCCAAACAGTTGAAACCGTATGAGAGAAATTACCCAATACATGATTTATAATTAGCGGTTTTTATATTTGTATTGAAGATATGGATGCACTATTTGAACAAAGTCAATGTGAGGATTTTACCGATCACCAATGTCTAAACATATTTATTTAGAAGGGTTTGAATATGACCAAATTGCACTAATGATCAAGCTTAACTAAGTTTAGCCTAATGAGTTATCTACTAGACTAAAAATTTCATGTTCTAATTATGTCAAGTTAATATGACCAAATTTAACCAACGTGGGCCATAATGTCATATGTAAAAGGTAGATTAAATTTGAGTTTGAGATAAAAGCATTATTAAGAGATTTGACCCTCATTTTTTTAGGACTTCATAATCTATGTTTAGGTTTTTCATAAGCACACGTACCTACAGTTAATTACCCTTCTTGATGATAGGTCGATTAAGACTGATCATTATGTAGATATTATATATCCATCATATAATAACGACATATTGATTTTAGAGCTTAAGATTAACCATTCTTTTACTTAAACCAGATGGTGGAGAAAATGATAACAAACTCGATAAAGATCTCATGGTACTGTCATCTAAGTTGTCATGATTCTTAATCTACTTAGTCAGCGGAGGTAGTTTAACCAACATTATCTAATTATTATTACTTGCATGAGAGGTTCACGGTTCGACCAGAAGAATGAGAGATTCACGGTTCGACCGGTTCGAGGTCGAACCAGATGACATAATAAATAATAATATTATTAAAAGTAATAAAATTAACATAATAATAGTAATTTAATCTTAAAATTTTCATAATTCTAATAATTTTGAAACAAAAAACTAAATAAAATCATACATATATAATATATTACATAATTTTAAAATTAAATATAAATAATTATTATATTTATATTATATATTAAAATATAAATTATTATTAATTTTAAATTTAAATATAAACATATTCAATTTTTTATTTTAATTTATATTTAATAAAAATTTAGTTTATATATAAATATATATATTTGATATAAATAATTGCTTAATGTTATATATTTAAGCATAATTTACATATATTAATGTACATATTTCTTATTACTAATTTATAAGTTATAAATATATTTTTAAGATTTTTTTTTTTTCTTAATTTTTTAATTCACAGTTTAGAGAAAGTTTAGAACTTTAAAAATAATATTATTTTTTCTTTGATAATATAAAATATATTTAATTATAAATTAAGAGTTAAAATTATTATGATTATTTTTTATTTGAATATTCTACAAAAAAATTTAAAAATCTTATTGAACAAGTCTCATGACACATTGTTGAATGTTAAAACTAAAATACTGTTGTTTGTCTACATCACTTAAAATTTTATGTATTGTTTTATACATTTTCTTGTATCATACATACAGAGCTCACATGGTATTATGGATCATGTGAGTAGATTATTTATATTTATATTATATATTATTAATTTTCAGAATTATATTGTAAATAAATATGATATTTAAATTATTTTTATATTTAATTAAAATATTTTATTAATTAACTATTTAAATATTTATTATTGTTGAAACCGACCAGTCTTAAGAATCGGGACCGGTTCAATGGTTCGGCGGTTTTCAACCAGTGGTTCAAAACTGGTTTTTGATCGGTTTGATACTAGCTTCAGGGAGGACCGAAGGCCATAGACCGATTCCACGATCGAACCGATCGAACTGACCGGTTCAATCTATTTTCAACAATGGGCATATCTACACTTTTTGAGCTATATAAATTTTAATTGTTGCAAGATTCTTTAAGCAATTTACATGCTCTTGGAAAGTATACATGCTTATTGAACCATTGTGCACACTTTTATTCTTTAAGCAATTATGCACCTTTCAAGATAATTACGCTTTCAAAAATGAGGGATATTTTCTTTAAATTTTGTGCTCTTTTTATGAATCACTTATCTTTGTATGACTGCATCTCTATCTTATAAACGATTAAAATTAAGGGGCTGTTTGGTTGCATATTAAGAAAGTAAGTAATTTATTACTTGATTTCATAAATTAGATTTTGGTTTGTTTGAGCGTAACGTAAGTATTCCTCTAAAGCATCAGAGCGTTAATTGCAAAGCTGTCGTGTGACTTCGAAAGCGCTCAAATGAGCGGAGTTAGAATCCCTCGTGCACGAAATAATGAGAAGAGACAGAGTGCTGGAAGAACGGAGAAAAGGGAGAACTCTATAGCTCTCTCTTTGTGAACCATCATGCGAGGTGAACGCCTGTTTCTCGCCTTCCGATTCGCGGCAGTAGGATCTAACAGATCTGTCGAGGAATGAGGGAGATGTCGTCAAGGGTAGGTTCAAGTAGAGCGGCATGCAGCGGTCCACGACCGGATGAATTGCATCGATCCAAATCCCATCGCAGGCAGCGTTGGTATTGCGAGCCATGCAGAGACCGTGATTCGAAAAATGGTTGATTGATCGAATGCGCGGGAATTGTGCCCTAATGATGTCTTTCCAATTTTTCGGGCTAGAAGACAAGTTCTTGAAGGTTTTGGATGGTGGCGAGATGTTGCGGAAT